GTTTGTCTTTTTCTTATTGTGTTATAAGAGTTTAACCTAGTGTAGAAATGAATAATTCATCAGGTATGTTTTGCGAATATTTTCTACCAGTTTGTGGCTTGTAATGCATTGCATGTAGAGAAAAAGAACATTTCAAGTACTTTTAGGTGTTCATGTATATTTAGAATTTAGAAATTTTTATGTCACTGTTTTGTTATACTATTTATAAGCATAGGAGTTGATTTAATATTCATTAAATGTCTTGGTATGACAAAATGAACAGTGTATACTTCCTATTAATTGGTTTGCATGTAGATGATGATAATAATGATAGCAAAGACTTATTCAGCATCTACTGTGTGCCAGGAACTGGTTTTGTATATAGGAACTGATTGAATCCATGTAACACCAGGCCTGTGGTCATCCTCAATTTATTTATTTATTTATTTTTAAATTCTTTTATTGGCACATTTTAGGTATACAACACATTTACATTTATCATTCGGCGCTTGTACCTGTACATGATGTATCTTGGTTCTTATTTTTTCCTCATTCCCTGTGTGCCCTTCACCCCCTCCACCCTTCCCTATTTACATAGACTTTGTTTCCATTTTTTTTTTCATTTCTCATAATTTTTCCTTTCTTTTCTTCCCTTTCCCCTTCACCTCCCACCACCCCTACACCTTTGGACCTTTTCCTATTTCAAATTATCAATTATTCATTTTAATCATTTTAATCCTTATTTACACTTTCAGTTTCTCACACTAGACAAACTATTCGGTATTTACACATGTGTGTCCTATGGTCATCCCCAATTTAAAGATGAGGAAACTGAGGCAGAAAGAGGTAAAGACTAGACAGCTAGAAGTACTATTTGGTTTTCTGTGTAGCTCCCGAGCCTCCATCCATCCTCAGTGCCTTCTGGTTAGCAGCAGTGACTTGAAATCACCTCTTGAGGCCCACGGCAAACACCGCCACACACAACAGTGTGTGTTTCTCGGAAGTGACGAGGACCCAGCACACCGGAGTCTGAGTACTTAGTTCCAGGCCAGGCGTGCCGAGAGGGAGAGCAAACGTGGACATTAGGTTTGGAGGAGGGAAATCGTATTAAAATAACGACGCACCTGTAACTGATGCCGGACATTCAGAGTCCTGTCAGGTCAGGTGGTAAATACCAAGAAAGCTTGACAGTAAATAATAGGTTTAAGAGTAGAGAAAGAGGAAAGATGGTCTGTTTTCTTCCTTTTCTCCGAGGAATCTCCACGTGAAAGCTATGGAAAGGGAGCAGCTCAACCAGTGGAGTGTCAATTATTTAAAAGCAGGAGCAAAGCCAGGTGTGGTGGCGCACGCCTGTAATCCCAGTACTCAGAGGCCAAGGCAGGAGGACAGCCATGAGTTCCAGGCCAGCCGGGGCTACACAGTGAGGGCGAGGCCAGCCTGAATTACACCGCAAGACCCTGTCTCCAAAGACTAAAGACGGGAAAATGGCGGCCGGAAAGGCAGGAGAGGAGAACCCTGAGAAGCCGAAGCGAGCTGGAGCCGCCGGAGGACCTGAAGAAGAAGCAGAAAAACCTGTGAAAACTAAGACTGTTTCTTCCAGTAATGGAGGGGAAAGCTCCAGTCACAGCGCTGAGAAGCTATCAGCTGAAGAAGAAGCTGCAGACCTCCCAACGAAGCCTACAAAGATCTCCAAGTTTGGACTTGCCATAGGTAGTCACACAACAAGGAAAGCATCAGCTATATCCATCAAACTTGGATCAAGTAAGCCTAAAGAAACTGTTCCAACTCTTGCTCCAAAAACCCGTTCAGTACAGCAGCTTTTAATGAAGATGAAGATAGTGAACCACAGGAAATGCCCCCAGAAGCCAAGATGAGGTTGAAGAATATTGGAAGGGATACACCAACATCAGCCGGACCAAACTCTTTCAATAAAGGAAAGCATGGGTTTTCTGATAACCAGAAACCATGGGAACGAAATATAAAATCTCATCTTGGAAATGTCCATGACCAAGACAATTAAATGATGTGTTTTGACTTGGGGTGTGGGGTGGGTGTAAAGTTAAAAGGAACAGTTTCCTTTTTTAAAATGGTGTAAGACTATCTTTGGAGCCGCTTTTTCTTTTTCATTTTTTTTTTTAAAGACTGGTACACTAATAAGTGAGAGTTTGAAATTAGAGGAAATTTATGTTTTATATACAGATTTCAAGACATTTGTTAATTTTGTAGTTTCATGTGATTAGTTCCCAAAGGTTACAGATAATAAAGAAAACAGAAATGGTACCTTTTTAAGAATTGCATATTTGTTTTTTAGACACAACTGTTAGCACATTAAGAGGGAAGCAAAAAATAACTGTCTATTTAAAACTGTCAGCAATTACTCCTAAATTAACTCCCTCATTACCTAAACTGACTGTCTGGTTCCCAGGAACAGCCTCATAGAGAAAGGAGGAGTATTGTATTGAAAGGAAAATGTTGCTAGACTATTGACTGAAAGTAAATTTAGATAAAGTTAAAATAGTTTTTTTCCTTATGGGCATTTGTTTTGTTATATTATTAGGTATTGCATTGCTATCAGTGGATACACATGCTTAGCTCTTTTACTAAAAACAATTTTTTAAAAAAAATTTCTGGGTGAAGCATCATATTTGAAATAGCCCGTTTCATTTTAATGGTCTTGTCTACCTTCGTTAGTCTTCAAAGAACAGCCATTTGCTACCACAGTAAATCAGTATTTTGAATGTGCTTCTCTTGGTTTTTGTTTGTTTATTAGCTAATTCTTATAAGCATTTCCACCAGAACTTGAGGCAAATCATAAGGAAACTGTTTCTTTTCTTCTCTTTATTATTATTATTTTTTTTGGTACCAGGGATTGAACTCAGGTCCTTGTGCTTGCAAGGCAGGTGCCATAACCACTGAGGTAAATCCCTGGCCCAAAGCTGTTTCTTTAAAAAAAAAACCCCACTAAAAATTTAAATGTACATACTGTTTAAGTATTTGGCTGGTTTTTATTTTTTAAAAGGTATAACCCTCCCCCCTAAAATTTAACACTGTAGAAGATGGAAGACAATAAGATGCATTTTCTGTAACTTTGTCTACACATTTACATTACTAAGTTGCTAAATCCAATTTGAATTGAACTCACCACAGAATTTATTAGAATTATATGGTTTATTTTAAGTGTATACAAAATGCCCAGTGGCCTGGGCATATTGTAGGTACTGAAAATGAAAGAAAATGAATCTTTAAACACATTTTATAGAATTGTTCATCACATATACTGTTAGATTTGTGTACTGTAGCGTGTATGGTTTTTTAGTTTTGTATTGTATATGGACTTTTTTTTTTTTGGTATTGGGGATCAAACTTGGGTCCTTGAGCTTGCACAGCAGGCAGCGAAACCAGTTGAGCTAAATCCCCAGCCCATATATGGACTTTCAAAAAGTGAAGTTAAACACATCTTTGAAAGCATAGTCACAGACGAAAGAAAAATGATATAGTTAATTTCTTCAGAATGCCTACAATGTTAAATTTGGAGGCAGCTTCAGACTGTTTTATTGGTGGTAGTTACTTGCTGATCTTTTTAAATAATAATTCCAGAGAAGAAACCTGTGCATATGCCTAATAGGTTGATCTTTCACATTAAAGTGTAGATTAAGCCCCAAGTAAAACAATGGAAATGTATATAGAACTATTAGTTCTTACATGATTTAATTATACCAAGATACATGAATTTAACTTTAACTTTAGTTTTATGTAGGCAAACTGTTCATTTTTGTACATTTTACTGTTTGTTAAAATAACATCCCTCTCCTACATACTCTTTTCTTGACCCAAATGAAATACTAATCTAAGGTCAAGATGAGGAGAGAAACAACTGACATGAATGTCTTTACTAAAATAACCAATAAATTTTGTCAAACTAAAAAAAAAAAAGACTAAAAACAAGGAAGAGGGGCTCAGTGTTCTGTCATAAGTGAGGGGGTTCTGGGCCTTCACCCCATGTGAGTCACAGGATCGTGGCCCTATTCACGTCTGAAGAATTCAGTTAAGTCATTTCGTACGTTAAAGCGCTTGGCCCCATGCCTGGCTTAGAGTGACCGCCGAATAAACATTCGCTAGTTTTAGTATGGTTTGAATGCAGAGCGAAGAGCAGCTGGTTCCGTAGAGTGAGTGTGGAAACTGCACTTGAGAGTGGACGGATGAGTTCATCACTGGGTCAGTGCTGAAGACAGTTTGCGGAGCAGACCCTTCACTGAAGTGTTCAGTGTTCAGTGTCTCAGTTCTCTACACTGCCCGGGGCCGGGTGTGACTCACCAGCTGCGGCCCGGGGTGAGTGGGTTTCCCTCCCGAGCCTCGGGCAGCGTGAACAAGAGAGCTGGTGCCTGCGGAACACATAGGACACTGGGTGCCCAGCACCCAGGCTCAGCCCGTCCTTGCTGTGACCCGGTGAGAAGCAGAGTGGCCCTGCGGTGCTCCTGGCTGACATGACTTTCTGGGGACATTTATGTATGTTTATTTGTGCCATCTGCTATGAATAGACTGGAGGAATATTGTTATTTGGAATTCTCAGATATAATTTTTTCTTTTTCATAGTACCATGACTAATTGATAATATACTTAATTAATAAAAAGCTTCAAGATATTCTCCCTCCAGTTTTCATTCTTTTTTTGTTTTGTTTTTGTTTTTTTGAGACAGGGTCTCGCTATGTAGTTCAGGCTGGCCTTGAACTCACTATGCAACCCAGGCTGGCCTCAAACTCATGGTGATCCTCTTGGCTCAGCCTCCTGAGGGCTGGGATGACAGGTGTGTGTCACCACTCCAGCTTCTATTCAAGGCGTATGGTGGCCAAGGTGACAAGAAAGTCCCCTGCATGTGCTCCGCTCCCCAGGCCTCAAGGAACCCGGCCAGCCGGGCTTGGGACGCTTCGAAGCCGGGTGCAGAGGGACTTGGATGAGCTGGTCTGGGGCGGGAGAGGGGTCCAGGGAGTGGGGATCTCACGGCCTCTTCTTGTGTGTCACAGCCTCCGTGCTCTTCCTCCTCTCGAAAATGGGCAAGATACTGGCGGGCTGCTTGCTGCTTCTGCTCCTCCTTGGACAGACCCTGGTGTTCCCAGCTGCGGCCGGACAGCGGCCTCACGCCAGGCCTCCCGCCAAGGGCAGACAAGCGCGGACCCACTCACAGACGGCCCTGCTGGGTGAGTGGACCCTGGAGCTGGGCCCGAGGTCTGGGGGCGGGGAGTACGGCCCTAGCTGAGGGTGTGGTTGGTGTAGCTAGGTTTTCAAAATAAAATTACTTACTGTTCGAGACAAGGAGTCACTGTGTAGCCCTGGCTGGCCTTGACCTTGTGATCCTCCTGCCTCAGCCTCCCAAGTGCTGGGATTGCAGGCATGCAGCACCACACCGGGCACTCAATGTAAAGTTAAACCCTTTCTATTTTAAAGCCCTCAGTTTTACGGAAGGCTCGTGACCTTTGTCCAGTTGGTCCAATTGATGAGGACAGCAGTGTTCTGAGGAGGCTCGGTTACCAGTGCTTCCTCCTGGGGAGGAGCAGGCACCGAGAGCTGAATCCTCCAGACTGTAGGGCTGGGGGTCCTGGCCTCGGTCCACCTGTTTTCTCCAGGAGACAGGGAGCGGGAGGAGGAGAGGCCAATGCTGCAGGAACAGCGGCTGTGCACTTGGCCAAGGACGGGCAGCCTGGGAACGTTTCTGAGGAAGGAAAGGTGACTCGGAGCTGTGCTTCTGCTCTGAAAGTGCTCCACCCCCTGGCAGCGAAGCTTAGCAAACTGGCAGCCTCAGCATCCAGAATTCCGGTTAGGCCCCAAAGGGGCCAAAGAGTTTTTGTTTTTCTTCTTTTATAGGGGATTAAACCCAGGACCTTTGCAGTAAGCTACAGTCCCAGCCTGCCGCGCCCCCCCCCCCCCATTTTGAGACAGGATCTTGCTAAGTTGCTACATAGCCCAGGTTGGGCTTCAACTGGGATCCTCCTGCCTCAGCCTCTAAGAGTGCTGGAATTCTTCTTTCTTGCTGCTGATTAAATGATGTCCCCACCCCCCAGTCTTCCTGTCTTGGGGCTCCTGAGAGACCTTCCCTAGCGAGGTAGACATTAGACTCCTGCATATAGAAAAAGGGACATGAAGTGTTTATTTCACTGATTTAAGGCTCTTTAAAAGCAAATTCCAAGGTGATAACCATATATATACCAGAAGTGCGCGTGGATTCCTAGCTCACCAGCAGCGGTTTCGAACTTGCATTTCTGAGGGGCCCAGTCCCCACAGGCACCACCTCTCTCGGCCAGCTGCCCACCTGCTCTGTCTCTGAGTCTCACCCCAGTCGGGAGACGGGGCTGGGAAGCCCGTGTGCCACAGGCATCTGACCCCATGTGTACACGGCCTCCGTTTCTTTTTGTGGCACTGGGGGCTGAACCCAGAGCCGTCCACTGAGCTGCATCCCAGCCCTTTCCTTGTTTTTTTATTTTGAGACACGATCTTGCTAAATTGCTGAGTTGCCCAGTCTGGGCTTGAACTTGTTTTGTTTTTTCAAGCTAATGAAATATTTTTTTGTACATAATAAAAGTGGTGTTTAAAAAAAATTTCCAGGCCCAGATGTTTGCAGGAGTATGTGAGGAACAGATTTCACTCAAGTATAAAAAGCAAAATTCTACTGAATAAACCATAAATCTACCCAACTCCTTATAGTAAATACTAACATTCACCACCGGTTTGAAATTTCTGTAGTATTAATATATCAATTTCTTAAAATATTACAGACATGCTTATGATGCATAGGAAGATGGGAAGACTTAGACTGTGACTACACACCATATGTACTCCCAGCTTTCCTAATTTACAACCAGTTGAGAATTACAATATCCTTGGGTCGGGGATTTAGCTCAGTGGTTCCGATGCCTGCCTTGCAAGCAAGAAGTCCCGAGTTCGATCCCCAGTACCAAAAAAAAAAAAAAAAGAATTACAATATCCAAAGAAAGTATTTTAAAATAGTATATGACTCACTGTTAAGTGATTTTTCTACTCAAGTAAATAGGAAAGTTTGCATTTTAATGTTACACTGAATTTCAGTACATTTCAATCCAAGGAAAAAAATAAACTGAGACATGGTCATGAGTTCAGGATTACATATATTACAATTTGCCTTGTTATACTAAATTTGTGGCTTTATGATAAAAATAACTCAGGGACATACGGAATTCAAGCTAATTTGCATAACTGTCACAAGAAAAAAAGCATTAAATGCATTTATAAAGTAAGTATTTTCATTTAATTTCAGAATCTCAAAACAGCAATAGACCTTGGCCTTGTTTAAAAAAAGTTTAGTTAAACACTAAGCTAGCTAAATAACCTTACCGAAAGGTTTAGACACAAGTGATGTAGAAAATGGTTTCTCTCTAACGTCAATCTTACATAAGTGGAAGAGGTGAAGGGGAAAAGGTAGACGATTTCTTCAGCAGCATATACAGCTAAGTCCATCAACCACCTTACTCTACAATGTCCATTACTGATCCCATTAAAAAGAATTGGGCTAATATCAAAAGCTACCCATTTCATAAGCCAAAAGACAACAATTTTAGGGTTATACTAAGTGAAATATTTTTGTAATACTTCACAAATTTTAACCATAAACTAGAGGAATCAACTCTTCATTGTAACAAAGAAAGGAATCACAGAAAGTAAAAGACATTTAAACTAAACTCATTTTTTTAATCCTCTTCAAACAAAAGTAAAGAAAATAATGGTTGATTAGCTAACTTTTGTGCTCTAACCAAACTAATTAATTCCACTGAGTTTAAGTGGCAATAGCCCATGTGACTGTGCAGCTTGACAGTTCTGAACGCTTTTGCAGTAATTCTTTTAAACGCAAAGATTACTAAAACGATCCGGACACGCAATGTTCATCTTATGCATTCTGCATTTTTTTGCCAATCTTGTAGCTAAGGATCTTGTTCCAATCAATCTTAGTACGTGTAACTGGCAACTGTCGACATAAGGCCTTGAAAGTAGTGTCCGACATTGTCTGATAATTCTCACTGATGGCAGTCTGATATTCATTTTCTGCAGCTTCTACAATCTTTATAAATTCTTTTGCTGCTTGCACTTCATTAGACACTGTTAGGGAATCTTGTATATCTTTATGACTCACTAGGTGAACATTTCCATCTTCATAATAATGAACCTGAATTTTCAAGATGCCAATTTGAAGGCATGATTGCAAACTTCCACTCTGACCTCCAATGACCATTCCAAAAGTTTTTCGCTTGGAACTGATGGCTTTCTATGCATGCAATAATGGTTTGCTGTCCATTTATCATTTTACCATATACAGTGTAGACCCTGTTTGGGTAATGTTCTTTCACATATGCTCACCGTGCAGTTTCTACCGAAGTTCTCTGTTATTCATCTGCCTTTTCTGCTTCATAGGGTCTTGGATCAGTTGCTTCCTTTCTTAAGTGATCAAATTTGAAACAGATTCTGATTTTTGGATCCAAAAACTTTCCATTTCCCCAGTCGCCACGTTCTGTTATCAATATGTGATCTCCGTAACCTTCAGTTTTTACTGGAGTAAACTGATCTGAGTTATACTGTGTAAATGCATGGGCTGCTCCCTCTCTGAGGAGATTATCATTATTAAGCAGTAATCGAACATTAAAAAAAACCTCATTAAACTCTCCAGGAGGGCATGAATGATGAATTTTGCTGCTATACATACCTTCTCCTCATCAGAAAACTGCTCCTTCAGATCCACCATCTTCCTGCTGGTGACAAACCATGGCGGTGGCAGCAGCAACCACCTGACTTCCCCCTTTCCCTGCAGTCCTTCAAGCTGCGCGCCCCCTCCAAGGGAGGGGCAGGACCTGGGCTTGAACTTGTGATCCTCCTGCCTCAGCCTCCTGAGTGTTGGAATTACAGGCGCGCACCACCACAGCTGACTTTTTCTTGGTTTCTGGTTTCTGATGCTGAGAACATCGCCCAGGGCCCAGTTCCCTGTCTGTGGCAGGTTGTTTAGGTTGTATTTGTGGCATTCCTGGGCATGGGGTACCTTACAAGTTTCCTCACTTCTTCCTGTATCTCAGAAACTGTAACCGAGTAGAATAGCAGCATTGTTTCTCAGGTTAATATTTTTGGTTTGAATTTTCTGAAAAATTTTTGTGAGACAAAGTCTCACTTTGTAGCCCAGGCTGGCCTTGAACTCACTTCGATCCTCCTGCCTCAGCCTCCCAAGTGCTGGGATTACAGGTGTGTGCCACCACACTCAGCTTGAATTTTTAAAATGTTTATATTTTATGTGTAATTCGAAGCAGAGTCTCTGTAACAACTCGAGCCAGTTAAAATGGTAAAGCAGGTGTCCCTCCTGCTGCCGAGAGCTGAAGGTGAATGTGTGCAATGGCAGAGGCACCTGCGAGTCGGGGCTTCGCTCTGCTGGCCTCATGTGCTCAGCATAGGTGGCAGAAGGGCTTGAGCTCTCTGATCTCAGGACCCTTCCTGGCCCACTCAGAAATCAGTAAGGGGCTTGGGGATGTGGCTCAAGGCAGAGTACTTGCTTAGCATGTGTGCACCCCTGGGCTCAAACCACAAGAAGCAAAGAAAAATAATTTAGGATCCCAAAGGGCTTCCATTTGTGTGTGTTAGATCTATCAAGATTTATGGGATCAGAAAATAAAATGGAAGGGGCTGGGGATTTACCTCAGTGGTTCCGGTGCCTGCCTTGCAAGCACAAGGTCCTGAATTCGATCCCTGGTACCCGCCCCCCCCCCAAAAAAAGAAAGAAATTAAAATGGAGGCCATGCGTGGTGGCACTTGCCTCTAATTCTAGCTCTCAGAAGGCTGAGGCAGGAGGATCACTGCAAGTTTGAGGCCAGCCTGGGCTACGTAGCCAGCCTGAACAACATATGGAGACCCTGTCTCAAAAAGCAAAATAACAACAACAACAACAACAAATTTAAATAGAAAACTTGAAAAATATTTGTTGAGTCATTGAAAAATAATAAATCTAGAATATACCATAAACTATTTGCATAAAAACCACATATTCTAAATAACGAAGAATTAGTGAAGAGTGGCTCCTTTGTACATTTTTGCAGATCTTTGTGTCTGGCCTAATACAGATACCTGGAGCCTCATTTCTTGTTCGCTCACTCAGTCACGCGATCATGTGATCAGTCGTGTGGCTTCGGCGGGACTA